TTTTTTTTTTTTTTTTTTTTTTTTATTTGTTGATTAGGGCCGGAGGAAAGAATTGTTGGGTTGTTTGCAAACCTACGTTTTCCCTCCCACCCACCCCTTTGCATGCATTTCCCAGTTGGTACAGTGACACGTCAGCTATAGTGCCACGTCAGCAGTGACACGTCAGTGCCACATCAGCAGTGATATGTCAGCAACAGTGACACGTCAGCAGTGCCACGTCAGCAGTGACACGTCAATGCCACGTCAGCAGTGACACGTCAGCAACAGTGACACGTCAGACACAGTGACACGTCAGACAGTGCCACGTCAGCAGTGACACGTCAGCAACAGTGACACGTCAGACAGTGCCACGTCAGCAGTGCCATGTATGCAACAGTGCCACGTCAGCAGTGACACATAAGCAGTGCCACGTCAGCAGTGCGACACCAGTCACAATGCCACGTCAGCATGACGGGCCCAGCTCTGGGCATGCCAGGCCAACTGGCCAACGAGTCTCTGGCCGACTACAAAAAGCGGTTCCAGGCTCAGATCGTTCTGATCGAGGTTGAGGAACAACGCCAACTGGCAGCCACGGCTGCCCGCCTACAGGCTGAAGAAGCGGCAACAACAGAGAAGCTGCGGCTACAGGCCGAAGCAGATGCAGATGCCCAGGCTCGCCCGCAAGGAAGCCCAGGATCTGCTGCTGCGGCATGAAGCCAACAGCATCGAGAGACTCAAGTTCTGGTACTTTGAACCGAACGGCGACGAGGCAACACCGGAAGAGCAGCATAAGGAGTTCATGGCCAAGCTCGTGACCAGGTTGATTTACACTTGTAACCACCTACAGTCCGAGCTGGCGAACCTCCAGCGGGCCGTGCGGAACCATAAGACTCAGCACGAGGATGCCACACGGGCACTAGACGCCCGTGTACAGGACTTGGAACAAGTTCCACCAAGACCAGATGCTGGGGCTTCCAGCAGTGCACCCTCTAGCCGCCAACTGGAGGAACGCGTTGACCACGTACTGGCAATGCTCGGCGACATCAGCACCTTCGCTGCGACCACCATCAGCAGTCAGCTGCATACCTTGAAGACCGAGGTCCAGCAGCTGCAGTCGACGAACACGGATGGCAATCCTAAGTTGTACAAGATGCCAACTTTCCAACTGGATAAGTYCGACGACTACACGCAGCAGGATCCGGTCCTCTGGTGGGAAGCATTCACGACGCAACTTCGGATTCTGCCTGTCGCTAAGCATGCGTACATCGGCGCCCTGTTCATGAACTCAAAGGGCGGATGCCAGACCTGCTTGACCCACCTGGCAACCTCTCACGGCGTCGACGTACCAGACTTGAAGGACAAGATCACATGGGAGGAACTGGCACGGCTGCGGAAGTAACGGTTCATTGTCGACGATGCGCCGGCGCTCGCCATCAACCGTCTTTTCACCATGTCACAGGGCAACACCGCAACACGAGACTGGCTCACGGAATGGTAGAAGATTGTGGCAGTGCCCAATCTGGACTTGCCATTCACGCATCTGCGTCGTGAGTTCTACAACAGGTCCTGTGCTGCATTGAGCCGGGCTCTTGGTGATCGCGAGCAATACACCACCTTCACCGAAATCATTGACAAGGCGAGGGAGATCATCAAGACCAACAGGTCAGCTGCACACGAAAAGTCAACATGGCAACCGACCTATGTGGAGAAGGTACGAACTGGTCCGCGACCGCAACACTTCGCTGCAGTCCAGTCGGACAGTGGAGAAGACCCAGCAACCACTCCAGCATCACGTGAGGGAGATCAGGTGGCTGCTGTCCAGCCGCGAAGCAACAACAAGTCCCTGAAACAATGGGAAGGCGAAACCAGCATCGCAGGTCGGAAATGGACAGCCAGCACCACCATGGGTCAAGTTCGGCTTCACCGAGCCCGAGTACAAGTACCGCGGCTGTTACGGCTGCTGCTACTGGTGCAACAGCACCAAGCACAAGATCTCTCTTTGCCAGGATCAGGCCAAGGAGGATGTGCGGCCTCGGTTCAACTCGGGAATGTCGCAAGTCCTCGGTACACTTACGAGGATTATGCTACGGCTCAACTCGGGAATGTCGGCAACAGCACCAAACACAAGACCTCTCTTTGCCAGGATCAGGCCAGATTCGGCCGCCTTGCTAGCGGCCTCCTACACATCTGGGGAGGATGCGAATGTCGCAAGTCCTCGGTACACTTACGAGGATTATGCTGTCCACTTGGTTCCACCGCTGGACCAACCGCGCCAGGTGCAACAATCTACCGCATGCACGGTTTCATCACCATCGGCAACCGATTCGGCAGCTTCGCCGTCATCTACGGCCGGGGATTCAACGTCATGGTCAAGTCTTGAAGAACTCGACCCTTTGACTTTTGAGGACTTCCAATGGATGCCCCTGCCCCGGTCCGGTCGTTTGCCGAAACCGCATTGCAACGTGCTCAAAGCACAATTGCGGAAATACTTGCACACTGCAGTACCGACTCCGTTGATGGACGCCGGAGTAGAGGTTGTCGACCTTCACGCCTACATTGCGAAGATCGACCGCGAGTTCACGACGCAACGGTACGACGACATCGACGCACCATTGCTATATGTACGCATTCAGATCGGAGAGGCGACCTGCAATGCTTTGATCGATTGCGGAGCATCTCGCAACTACATGAGTCAGGACCTCATGGTACGCGCCGACCTTGGCCCACGAGTCCGAAGGAAGTCCCAGCCCACGCAAGTCACGTTGGCGGACGGTCACACGCACAAGTCAATCGACCGGTGCATTGATGACGTCCCAGTGTACTTTGCCCCTCACGCAAGTGAGACGATGTCCTTCGACATTCTGGACACCAAATTCGACATGATCTTGGGCATGTCATGGCTTCGAAACGAGGACCACCCGGTGAACTTCTACCGCCGCACTGTTCACGTTCGTGATCGGAACGGAGTACTAGTCCCATGCACAGTAGCTCCTCCTCACCCTTCAGTCAGCTGTCACGTGGTATCCGCTGCAAGCATGCGAGCTTCCATCATTAGAGACGACATCGAGGAGATGGGGGTGTGTTTTCTCCACGCCCTCCCGTCCCATGACGCTTCATCGACGGACTCATCTTCGGATCCACGCATCACTGAGCTTCTGGACGCCTACAGCGACGTGTTCGAAGGCCTGCACGGACTAGTACCGGATCGGCCCGTCCGCCACGAGATCATCCTCGAGGACGGGGCCGTACCTCCGCGCGGTTGCATCTACAGAATGAGCGAGGAAGAGTTAAGTGTGCTTCGGGCACAACTCGACGACCTTCTAAAGAAAGGCTGGATTCGGCCTAGCTCATCGCCATACGGTGCTCCTGTTCTCTTCGTCCGGAAGAAGAACAAGGATTTGCGGTTGTGCATCGATTATCGCAAGCTCAACGCGCAGACGATCAGAAACGCCGGCCCTCTCCCACGCATCGACGATCTTCTCGAGCGACTGGGGGGCGCCAAGTTCTTCTCCAAGCTCGATCTCAAGTCGGGATATCACCAACTCGAGATCCGGCAGGAGGACCGTTACAAGACCGCGTTTAAGACGCGATATGGGCATTTCGAATGGCTGGTTATGCCATTTGGCCTTACGAATGCCCCGACCACTTTCCAAGCGGCTATGACAACGGAGTTCCGACACATGCTGGATCGATATGTACTTATCTATCTCGACGACATCCTGGTGTACAGCCGGAATTTGGAGGAGCATGTGGAACACCTGCGCACCGTTTTGGAGCGGCTACGACAAGCCAAGTACAAAGCCAACCGTGACAAGTGCGAATTCGCGCGGCAGGAGCTGGAGTACTTGGGACACTATGTGACGCCGAAAGGCATCCGTCCGCTTGCGGACAAGATCGAGGCCCTACGAGTATGGCCCGAGCCCACCAACACCACGGACGTTCGTTCATTCATGGGGTTGGCGGGCTACTATCAGCGATTCATCACCGGATACTCCAGGATTGCTGCACCTATGACGAGGTTACAGTTGCCGAAGGTGCCATTCGTATTCGATGACGACGCACGCCGGTCATTCCAAGCACTCAAGACGGCCATGCTCATGGCACCCGTCCTTAGCATCTATGCGAGAGTGACTACGAACGCTTCCGGCTATGGCATTGGGGCAGTCTTGGAACAACACGACGGCGACGATTGGCACCCTGTGGAGTATTTCAGCCACAAAGTGCCTCCCATCAACTCGCTTGATGATGCAACGAAGGAGCTGCTCGCATTCGTCATGGCTCTCAAGCGATGGCGACACTTCCTCCTTGGGCGTCGTAGGTTCACATGGGTTACGGATAACAATCCACTGACCTACTACAAGACMCAGGATACGGTGAGCAGCACGATCGGACGATGGATGTACTTCATCGACCAATTTGACTTCACACCGAAACATCTTCCCGGCCTCTCAAATCGCGCAGCAGATGCACTCTCGCGAAGACCTGATCTTTGCGCTATGACACATCATGCCTTCGCATTCGACGAGGAGCTTCAGCGACACTTCATCCGGGCATATGAGTCGGATCCGGACTTCGCCACGCTGTATGCACAGCTATCTTCGGATCACCCGCCGGCCAGCCACTATCTCATTGCCGACGGGTACTTGCTCCTCCACTCGAGAGGCAAGGACTTACTATGTGTCCCACGCGACCGCCGTCTTCGGACTCGCCTCCTCGGTGAGTATCATGATTCGCGACTCGCCGGCCATTTCGGAGTCAACCGCACTATTGCACAACTTCTACAGTGATTCCGATGGCCCGATCTCATTACCGATGTCACTCGGTATTGCGACTCTTGCGAAGTTTGCCGACGCAGCAAGCCCCGCAACCGCAATCCCTACGGCGAGTTACGCCCGATGCCTATTCCACGGGAACCTGGTCTCTCCATTGCCATGGACGTCACCGGTCCGTTTCCCCGCGACCGTCTTGGGCACGACGGCATCCTCACGGTGGTGGACTGATTGAGTAAGTACGCGCGTTTTCTCCCTTGCAAGTACTACTGCACGGCTCCCGAGCTGGCACGCCTCCTGCACACCGGCTGGATTTGCGGCCATGGTGTACCGGARGACATAGTCAGCGACCGCGACACTCGCTTCATGTCGGCATTTTGGACTGCACTCATGCAGGAGTCCGACACGAAGATGAAGCCAAGTTCGGCTCGGCATCCACAGACAGACGGGCAGACGGAGCGGGCMCATCAAACCGCTCAAATGATGCTTCGTACGCTCATCGGACCGGACCAGAAAGATTGGGTTGACCGCCTCCCCGACATCGAGTTCGCCTACAACACTTTGGTGTATCCGGCGATCGGCGTGACTCCATTCGAGTTGCACCACGATGGACGGGAACGCCGGATCTTCGCCGACCTTCTCCTCCCTCGACCAGCCGACATTGACGCTGCCTTCTCCTCCCTCGACCAGCCGACATCTTTCCCCTCCTCTTCGTCTAACCCCTTCTTCTTCGTCTGTGTATGGTAGGGGCTGGCGCAGTCTTCCTGTGTGAAGCGCCAGACCCCATTCACACCATGTAACGATGATGATGATGTATGTTCAGGGCTGCATTGCAATRTTRATTGTTCRGATCAYTGGTATCTAAGTCTTCCGCTGTGTTATCTTGTACTTCGTATTGAGAGGTCGGTTCTTGTTCTGGTCTGCACGTTACAGTATGCAACAGTACCACGCCATCGACCCCCCAACCCCCACAGACCCACCCC